GTTGCAAAGTATAATTTGACATTAGAAATCTGATTTTACATGCAACTATGTACCCTCAAACTTGGCCAGCTAGCAATGTATGTTTGATTGTTAACAACCTCTTTAGTCGAAATTTAATTTTTAACTGTAGAACTCAATCTTCTCTCGGTCATAGGTTTTCAATGACTCGAAGAAGTCTCTATCTCAGTAGCACGCACTATACTCTTCTTAAATAGAAAGCTGATTTTACGTGCAAGTAAACTTAGCTTTCAACGCACTGTTATTTTATATGCAAGTAAATGTAGCCATCAAACTCAGCCAACACTGTAATTACCTGTAAAGGCGATATTTAGTTTTGATCTCAAGATCTCGATTATCCGTTGGCGATAGTTGATACCTACATTACGTATTGATACCTACGTTATAATATTTCTACAATTACGGGAACCTTTGCTTTGCGGTAAGCGCCATGGTTAGCTACTGATTTACGTGATTTAATCCTTGCTGGGTAAGGACCATACAACTTTCCGCCAATCAAGATGTGTGTTTTTACAAACACACCAAGACCCAGCCAGCTTCCAGTCGCAACCTTTCCATGACGTGTCATCTTTAGTATATTAGCGTATGCAGTTTCCTTAGTTACACCTGTGTCTTGTTCCTCTTTCTTGTGAAGACACATGTTGGGCCTCGACAGGAACACCAAATTGGTTTGTAATGGCAGTCGTCGTCGCTGTGGCAACCCTCTTTAGCGAGAGTACGTTCGAACTCTGGATACATATCGTTGGACCTCTCGGTGTAGTCGAATTTCTGTATTTGAACTTTGTTATTTCCTTTTCCACCTGGTACGTATGAACAACCATCATTCAGGAAGCCGAGGCAGTAGTACTGCAAGTTTAGTCCTCTGACGTAGTTCGGTGATCCTGATGGAAAACGGCTTTGTAGAATTTTCCAAATGGCTCTGAAGGTGTGCTGAATGGATGAATGTGTGTCTCCGGCTTCATTCATTAGCTGTTGAATCAGTTCCTTAGACCTGTCATGTAACAGCTTGCTACGGGTTTCCCTGCTTCATCCTCTAATGAAAAGTTTATCAGTCTTGCTGATATCGGTGGCATTACTTGATTCACTTTTATTCACATTTGCACATGCAGAACACCGACCTTTCCAACGGATGTGGGGCCTGCTAACGAGATGCAGCTTCTAACTTGAGCTTGTCTTCTTTGTAACACTATTGAGTGTGGCGCTCAGGGAATAGGCTGACTCCAATGGGGCATCTAATCCAACTTGGGTGGCCAATTTTGAGTAAAAAGACTTAGTACTTTGATAATATTCAAAGTGACTTCTTGTGGAGTTTAGGTTTTCCTTTTTGAAACATTTTGAAGGGAAAGACTCGAAAATGCTTGCTTCGCGTTCCTTAAAATCTTCCAATAAGCTGACTTTTGGAAGGTTAATGGATTTTCCGNGTAGAATTTTCCAAATGGCTCTGAAGGTGTGCTGAATGGATGAATGTGTGTCTCCGGCTTCATTCATTAGCTGTTGAATCAGTTCATTAGACCTGTCATGTAACAGCTTGCTACGGGTTTCCCTGCTTCCTCCTCTAATGAAAAGTTTATCAGTCGTGCTGATATCGGTGGCATTACTTGATTCACTTTCATTCACATTTGCACATGCAGAGACACCGACCTTTCCAACGGATGTGGGGCCTGCTAACGAGATGCAGCTTCTAACTTGAGCTTGTCCTCTTTGTAACACTATTGAGTGTGGCGCTCAGGGAATAGGCTGACTCCAGTCAGGCATCTAATCCAGCTTGGTTGGCCAATTTTGAGTAAAAAGACTTAGTACTTTGATAATATTCAAAGTGACTTCTTGTGGAGTTTAGTTTTTCCTTTTTGAAGCATTTTGAAGGGAAAGACTCGAAAATGCTTGCTTCGCGTTCCTTAAAATCTTCCAATAAGCTGACTTTTTGGAGGTTAATGGATTTTCCGGGCTCTACTAATTCGCTGGCCGTCAGAGTTTCTTCGCTTCCCATTGTCCTGGGCATAGATATGGCTTTCAAGTATATGACTAGCATTAAGGAGGAAAACATGGCTCCTCGCCGGGTGTATCTAGTATAACGCACTCTGAGTACAGAGTCAATTCACACAATTGATTAACTATGGGTCGGGAATACGTTTACATGGGAGCACTGGTACATCATAGATTGTTGGTTCTGTAGTACTGTTAAGCTACGTT